GCCGGCCGATCCAACGGATGAATTGGCTTTCTATTGTCTAGGGGGCGGAAATGAAGTCGGGCGATCATGTCACATAATCCAGTATAAGGGCAAAACAGTGATGGTGTGTCATTCGCAACCCAATGCTGTAACTACTGTTTACTGACTGTGGTCTCATTAGCTTGACGCTGGTATGCATCCTGCGAAAGAAGGCTTCTCAGCCCTGCCCTTCTTCGACGAGTTTGACCTTAGCACGGTAGATATTCTTTTGATCAGCCAGTATGTGGGACAGTCTCTCTTTTGCGTTCCCCTAGTCACCCTTCCTACACCGTCGCCCCCGAGCATGCGGGGATTGTTCATGGCCGTGGATAGCATCCCACACCACATCTCTCCTTGGTTTCCCAGCATGGTGGCAGAGTTCTTCTCTGCCATCATAGCAATTGCATCTGCTCATGTACTGAGAGACACAATACAATATATGCTAGTTATTCATCTTGGTCTTTGCGTTGTATCTCTGTATCCGTGCCTTTAACCGCAGCCTCTGCTACATCATTGCAATTTCACTCTTGCTCGACCATCTCAATCGGACAGTCGGCTGATAGATACTCTACTTAACCCATAGTTTCCATGTTGATCATTCCTCCGCGCTCCCCTATGTGCTCAGCAAGACCAATTTCAAGGGCCGTGTATTCATGACACACGCCACCAAAGCCATCTACAAATGGTTGATTCAGGACAATGTGCGTGTGAGCAGCACGGCCTCGTCTTCGGATCAACGCACCACTCTGTATACCGAGCAGGACCACTTGTCTACGCTTCCCTTGATCGAGACGATCGACTTCAACACAACGCACACCATCAATAGCATTCGCATTACTCCCTTCCCTGCTGGCCACGTCCTTGGTGCGGCAATGTTCCTGATTTCAATTGCCGGCCTCAACATCCTCTTTACCGGTGACTACTCTCGTGAAGAAGACAGACACTTGATCCCAGCCGAAGTTCCCAAAGGTGTGAAAATTGATGTGCTTATCACAGAGTCGACGTTCGGCATTTCGTCCAATCCCCCCCGCCTTGAACGTGAAGCCGCCCTTATGAAAGCCATTACCGGAGTCCTGAATCGCGGGGGCAGGGTCTTAATGCCGGTGTTTGCCCTGGGTCGCGCACAGGAGTTGTTGCTCATTCTGGATGAATATTGGGAGACACATCCCGAACTTCAGAAGATACCTATCTACTATATCGGAAATACGGCTCGCAGATGTATGGTCGTGTATCAAACATATATAGGTGCAATGAACGATAACATTAAGCGACTCTTCCGTCAGCGTATGGCGGAAGCGGAAGCTAGTGGTGACAAGAGTGTCAGTGCAGGGCCCTGGGACTTCAGATTCGTCAGAAGTTTGCGCAGCCTGGAGCGTTTCGATGATGTAGGGGGATGTGTTATGTTGGCTTCACCAGGTATGCTCCAGACAGGAACCAGTAGGGAGCTTCTGGAGCGGTGGGCTCCGAACGAACGCAATGGTGTGGTCATGACAGGCTACAGTGTTGAGGGCACGATGGCCAAGCAGATTCTGAACGAACCGGAGCAAATCCCTGCGGTCATGTCAAGAGCAACGACGGGACTGGTGAGGCGAGGCATGGCTGCCGGAAATGAGGAAGAGCAGAAGGTTATGATTCCCAGAAGATGTACAGTGGATGAGGTCAGTTTCGCAGCCCATGTAGATGGAGTTGAGAACAGAAATTTCATCGAGGAAGTCTCTGCACCTGTTGTGGTATGTAGCCCCGTTTACCTCTCGTCACAACATGTTTGGATTACTCATTCTCCTTAGATCCTTGTCCACGGTGAAAAGCACCAAATGATGCGACTCAAGTCGAAGCTGCTCAGTCTCAACGCCGAGAAGACCGTCAAAGTCAAGGTCTACACGCCGGGTAACTGCGAAGAAGTTCGTATCCCGTTCAAGAAGGACAAGATCGCAAAGGTAGTGGGTAAATTGGCTCAGATCGCGCCTCCTTCGGAGCAAGACGATGGCCAGCTCATGTCCGGCGTCCTTGTCCAGAACGGCTTCAACCTATCCTTGATGGCACCCGACGATCTCCGCGAGTATGCTGGTTTGACCACCACCGCCATTACATGCAAGCAGCATATTACGTTAAGCTCTGCAAGCATGGACCTAATAAAATGGGCTCTTGAAGGTACCTTTGGAGCCATTGAAGAAGTCGGCAAACCACAGCAGGAAATTGCCAAGAAGGGACAGGAAGATGAATCCGACAAAGCCAACGGAGACAAACTCAAGGAGGAAGCCGCCGATGAAGAAATCCCCATGGGAGATACGCAAACCTACCTGGTCATGGGTTGCGTGCTCATCCGATACTATCCTCGCACTCGCGAAGTCGAACTTGAATGGGAAGGGAACATGATGAACGACGGAGTTGCTGATGCAGTCATGGCGGTCCTCCTGACTGTTGAGAGCAGCCCTGCGTCAGTGAAACGTAAGTGGCAACCACTTATAACAATACCCATGAAGAACCATCCTACTAACTACGATTCATACAGAATCCGCCAAGCACAAGCATCACCATCACCACCACCACCATCACGACGATGACCACGCCCACCAAATTCCCAATCCCCACTCCAACGTCGGACCAGAAGAGCGTTTCCGACGTCTCCTCATGATGCTCCAAGCACAATTCGGCTCAGAGATCACGGCCATCGAGCGCCCACGCCTACCCCCCAATAGTATTACCAATGGCACCACCGACAAAGTTGACTCCGACGACAAGTCGACCCCTGTGAAGGAAGAAGAGGAGGAGGAGGAAGAGGAAGAAGAAGAAGACGACCTAACAGAGCTAGAAGCAGCCGAGATCTCTCGTCTCCACGCACTAGGCATTCCATTCCCCGGACTCGAAATCAAGGTCGACAAGCACATCGCCCGGATATGGCTGGAAGATTTGGAAGTGGAGTGCGCCAACCCTGCGCTAAGGGATCGGGTCCGCGTCGTCGTCGAACGAGCCGTGGAAACCGTGGCGAGCATGTGGGCAGAGGGACCTGCGCCTGCTACAGTGGTGGCTGCAAATGGAGAAAGCAAAGATCAGGATGTCTCTACGGGATTGAAGGCGACAGCGATTGAGGCTAAAGCGTGATATGAATCTGTAATTGGTGTATGTAACTATAAGCTTCTTGATATGTTCCACTTGAAATAGTGACTATTTCCTCCCACCAGCACCTTAATTTAGTAAAGGCCGGCTATATCGGGTATATGAATCATACTCCTCCTCCTCCTGCTGCTGCTGCTTCAATGCTGCTTAATGATGGGTCAGGTGTGGATTTGTGCGGGTAGTCAACATTGCTACTAAGAAACATGTGCTGCTGAAGCCATTGGTATGGGATATGAGAAGAAGAATTCGAGCAAAAAGCGAAAGCGTCAAACACAGAGTCCGCATTCCGGTATAGTGTCCATCGGCTACGCTGATGACACCAACTAGGTCGCGTTCCAGTATTCTCTGTATGCTGATCGGAGTTCCTTGAACTGATGATACTCGGGAGACATCAAATTGAGGTAGTTTCCGGGGTAACCGGCTTCTTTCAAGGCACGTAGAAACGTGTCAAACCGTGCTTTCAATACTTCAGTAGCTTCAAGGCGGTCGGAGGCTTCGATAGTAGCGTGTCGCTCCAGAACTTGAATAGTTGGAGTGGTAGTCTTAACGTAGTTAAGGTCAGTACATGACTTAAATGATGGATGCAGAAATTGCAATTGAGATAGGGTGGACTTGTTCATCAAGACTTACTGATGATCTCCGCTATATTTGGCTCAACACCATAGAGACATCGGAATGTGTCAGTCTCATATCGTGGCGGATGCACTATGCCATCTTCATCAATGTACCGGCCTTCTTCCCGGTATAAGTAAGCATCCGCATTGAGATGGCCGCCGTGCGCTTTCGCGTGTCCTTGGCTGATAATTCTTTGTTAATCGGCCATGTGGTCATCGGTAGCTGGAAAGAAATCTTCCTCGGATCTGAGCAAATCCAAGGGTATACTCAACACTCATTCTCTGGCCAGTTTCGTCTCTAGGATAGGTAATCTTGCGTTCTGGCGAGCCAACTCGACAACCGGCGTTATTTCCTGTTATCATCTCGTCTTTCACAGCTTCCACGCGCATTTCATCGGCTTCAAGGAATTCAGAAATTTAATATTGATTTTCGACGACACTACAGCGGTTGCTCGTTCGTCTGTGTAGATCTCAAAGTCAGCAGGAGCAGGGCCTTTTGATTTCTTGGAGCGTTTTTCTTTGTGAAGAAGGAAAAGTGGATAAACGGGAAGTATGAGTAGAGTAAGCGTAGTATGTGGACAGAAAGCAAAAGGGAAGTACCCAAGCAGAAAGAATTAAGCTTCTTGATATGTTCCACTTGAACTTCACTATTTCCTCACTGGACACAAATTACCTAGCACAGCTCAAAAGAAATGAAAAACTCATAATAGAGTGACATGCCTGTAAGCCTTCCGGTAGGCTAAGCCTGATCCAAGGGCTTAATCATTCCATGTTGAGCCTTGGGGAATACTGCGTGAGACGACATGGTTCCAGAGGACAGAGGAAGGACGAAAGGGGGAAGAGAAAAGTGAAGTTTGCAATCACCATTCACTGTACATTCACTTGCTGTGTTACTACTTCACTTTCTCGGAAACACAGAGCTTTCCGTACTATTTCATCAGATCCCCGTCAGTACCCGCCTATGGATACGGTACCTACGTAGGTACACCATAATGCAGACATCATCTACTTACCTCCCGGTACATATATTTCACCCCTCACATTCTCACCTTACTACTTCCTTTATTCAAAGCTCATAACCATACTTTTTACGACGTGCTATTCTCCAGCGTTTCTTAACCCACGCCTTCAAGAACGGCAGTACCCCATCGGAGCGACACCTTCCCAAGACGTAGTGTAAACGTGCTTCCCCAAACAAGCTTTCTACCGCAGCTTCCCAGTCAACAAGTATATCTTGGGCCCGAGTCTCAAATGGTTGCTGCTACAAAGCGGTCGCTTTCTGAATTCCTTGAAGGCGATGAACTGTTCGTGGAAGCTGAGAGAGACGATATGATAACAGGAAATCACGCAGGTGTTAAGCTGGCTCTCCAAAACACCGAAATCCCGGTTATACACTCAAAACTTGATCAGCTCCGCAAGGATCTTGAAAAGCTTGAAGCGAGAATGGCTGGAACTGAACAAAAACTGGCCGGAACTGAACAAAGACTGGCCGGAACTAAACAAAAACTGTCCGAATTTCAACAAGAACTGGCCGGAACTGATCAAGAACTGTCCGAATCTCAACACGCATCCGGTCAGTTCGGGCAGCAGGCGCGCGCACAATTCAGCATTGGTTTCGCCGATACCTTTGTGTTTCTCTATGGGGTTGATCCTATCCTTGCTAAGAAGATCGGTAAGTTTTGATATATTATATCTGCCTGATCTCTATTAACATTCCTGTATTTCCTATTTTGTTTATCCAGGGGCTGACCTTACCTACATAAGGCCTCTGAGAAGAGAATAGGAATTGACTTATTTGAGGAACGGTTTCACAAATTTCTAGATGCCTTGGACCCAGCTGGGTATGCAGGTGATTACTTGGATCCCATGCAAGCAGATGCTCAGCTTAATGAACTCCATAAAGCATATAAGGATTTCTGGGTTGCTAGCAGATTGGTGCGATGACAGCATTGGCAGGCTTTTAACGATGACGTGGACTGCGTGAGACCTAGATGGCTGTGGCTTTGATTCTTTTCTTTCTACTCGGATGCTTTAGTGCTTTTTTGTATTATGTTGAGACATTCACTGCAGCCAGGCAGCTGTCAGCTGATCCTTCGCCTCCTCTTCCTGCGTGGCCTCTGACCACCCAATCCAACCACCAACCTTCTTCTTGAGATCTAGATAGATCAAATCCGTATATCTTTGACCCTACATCTTGACAAGTTATAAGCCCGGCTTCTTGCCGCAGAGCTATACACACCTCTTTCTTTTTTCTTAATTCAAAATAACACTTAAGATCAGTTCTGAAGAGCTACAACGCGTCTCATTATTTCTACAACCTGAGATCTTTCTCTACCTTAACTCAACTACCAAAAATGGGAATGAATACCTCAGTCTCTTAAAGAGAGCTTATCATATCACAGTCACTCAGACTAAGCAAGAATATACAGAAAATCCAAGATTCTTCTCACTTGCTCCCGTACAAAGACTGCAAGAGTTCCAGAATTAGTTAAAAGCAGAGCCAGTGCCAGTGCCAGTGTTAAAGCCAGTACCAGAGCCAGAGCCCCTACCAAAAGTCTTAAAATCTTAAGCGGAGCTTCCAGTCTCGAAGCCTCCACCAAAGCAAGCTTCTCCGAAAAGAAAGGTAGCTAAAACACCAACTTCCATACAAGAAAAACCACCCCCAGGTATATATCACGCTAAATATATGTATAAACGCGCACTTGAGCCCTCACAAATAAAAGGTATTCTTACTGCAAAGGAGCCTTTTATACAGCTTCTGGTTGCTATTATTTAAACCCTCAAATCCGGCCTAACTGCTGGAAGCTATCACCATTTATTTAACATCTTGAATCACTAAAGACTTTAAAATCCACTAAAACAGTTGACCATGTGCTTGCTAATCTAAAGGCTCGTATACAAAGACCCTCCCAAGCGGCCACCTAAACGGCCACCCAAACAATATTCCAAATAAACCCCAAATTAGCCTTACCAATGCCCTCGCGTACGCCTGACACACAAGAAAAAGTCGTGGAGGAACACTAATAGTTGAACTCATTAAGATTATTGATCCCTGTGCTTAATTCTATAGGAAATCCTATTTAAAATAAACCTCAAAGCATCCCTACTTATAATCTTGATTACTTTGCATTTCCGTGTTTTAATTAAGCGCTTCGAACATCTTGAAAACCTGAGATAGAATCCTTTTACATGTATATAATGGCTTCGGATCTGCCTGTCTGGGAGGCAGTATTAAGACATTCACTGCAGCCAGGCAGCTGTCAGCTGATCTTTTGTCTCTTCTTTCTACATGGCCTCTGACCACCCAATCCAACCACCAACCATCTTCTTGAGATCTAGATAGATCAAATCCATATATCTTTGACCCTACGTCTTGACATATTATAAAGAGACATCAATTGTATTCTCCTTGAAATGGATCCAGTTGACTACCCTCCATCCTTCACAAGACAGACGGACCCTCGCATTGGCTGCTGATGCAATCAGTCAATGCACCATCGCAACAACTGCGTACGTATCCTTAGCAGCAGAGTCTACCGCAAGCAATTCCATATCCCATCATTAAGCTGCACTAACTTTCGCAAAAACAACATCAAGCACCTTGACCGCCGTATCCACGATGATATCGATCTCCTCTTTGGAGACATTATACGGCGGCGCCAGAATGATATGGTCTCCTTTCATACAGTCCACCGTCCCGTTAGCAGCGTACAACGACACCCCGTACTCTGGTTTCAACCCAGTCTCTTGGACCCGGAATGCAACTGCTTTGTCAGGGCTGAATGGCTCTTTGGTTTCTTTGTCTTTGACGAATTCGATCTGCAGATACATGGTATATTAGTCTTCACCCAAACCTCGGGTACACTAATGGTCGATAGAACTTGGATTAAGAAGAGTGACTTACACCCCAGAACAGCCCCTTCCCTCTGATATCGCCCACATACGGATGTTGCTCTAAGCTGCCCCGTAACCTTTCCTCCAGATACTTACCCATGTTTCTGACATTCTCGAGTAGGTTATCCCGCTTGATGACCTTTTGCACGGCTAACGCGGCAGCACATGCGATAGGATGGCCTTGGTACGTTTGACCGTGCCGGAACACTCCCGTGCCTTTGTCGAGGGCTCCGACAACTTTCTCGCTGATGAGGATACCAGAGACGGGTGCGTATCCGCCTCCGAGTCCCTTGCCGATGGTTTGGATATCGGGAACTACGTCCTCTTGTTCCCAGGCGTGGAGGGTGCCACAGCGTCCCATGCCGCACATGATCTCGTCTAGGATGAAAAGCGCACCGTACTTTTCACAGATTGCTTTCATAGCGGGGAAGTAGCCTGGGAGGGCGGGAACGGCGCCTAGGGCCTGGTTTGATGGGTGCTTGCGTTAGTTGCTGAGCTTTGTGTGTAAGGAGTGAGTCTGTTGAGAGATGCTTGCTTACCGCTCCTACAACTGGCTCTGCAATGAAAGCGCAGACATTCTCTGGTCCGACACGCTGAAATTCTGCGTCGAGCTCTGCTGCTAGTCGGGCAACGTAATCCGCGTCGGACTCGCCTGCTTTCTTACCTCGGTAGGGGTAGCAAGGCGAGACGTGAGACGTGTTGGTTGATAGAATGGGTTCAAAAGGCTCTCGACGGATCATGTGTCCGCCTACTGACAAGGCACCCAAGGTGACGCCATGGTAGGAGGGCTTCCGGGCAATGAACCTGGATCGCTGTAGTTGGGGGGTGGGTAGCTCGACGAAGTATTGACGAGCTAGTTTCAATGCAGCCTCGACAGCCTCAGAGCCTGAGATAATGTGAGTATTTGTCTGGCGATATCGTGCAGAGTAAGTGTTTTAACATACCGGAATTCACAACGAGCAACTTCGAGAGCTTACCACCAGTCGACTCGGTAAGGAAGGTAGCAAGCTCTTCCGATGCTTCTGTCCCAAAGAATGCCGTATGGCAGTATGACAACTTGTTGATCTGGTCAATCACCGCTTGGCTGACCTCCTCATGGCCATGGCCTAGGCAGGATACGGCGGCACCACCGGTCGAGTCGAGGAACTTGGTGCCATCCTCGAGGAAGATGTAGCTGCCTTTACCGCCGATAGCTTTCTTGGGGACGAAGCGGGTATCACGGTGAAGGACGGAGCTATGGGTGACTGTCACTGGCCTTTCGTGAGCTAGGAACAAGGGATTAAGATTGTCTGGTATACTACTAGTAAGAACATACCTGACTTGGTCATGGTTGAACAGGATATAGATAGCCGTTTGAGTAGATCAAATGTATATTGAGTGCATAGAGCTGGATGAATAGTTCTGGAGCCATGATTGCAGCATGATGCAGAGCTATTTATGCCTGCGATAAGCCCTGTCGACTGCTTCTTCTTGATATCACGCAGTGACTCAAGATGTGGGGAGGAGCGGGGATGGAGTCCGGCGGGGAGCCGGCAACCCAATCCTGGGAAGCCGAGCGCATGGTTGGCCGTCTCCGCCGACGGGCCGATCTCCGACTTGATGGTGGTTATCGTGCTCGTTTGAGTCGTCCATCTCTCCATCATCTACTGCTGATGCGGAGATGAGCAATCTCCCTCGCTTATGGCGATGCAACATCTTGGCTTAATTATGATGGATCATGAAGAGGAAGCACTGCGACGACTTGTTGCTACACCATGCCTTCAAGTGGACATCAACTGTCTACGTCAATGCCATTGTCTATACATGTTGTGCCAGCTTATATATTATCAGATAGAACTTTGTTGGATATGTTAATCAGGATTCTATCGCTGGATAATCTATGGTTATGCTATTCTGGCTTGGCGCCCTATGTTGCCCTCAATGCTGAAGTCGACCCCTTTCTGGCATATCTTTTTCATCGCCAACCCTAATTAATGTCCAGGCAGAACCGGGGAGTCATGGAGGTAATAAGCTGGCCTAACACAATGTAACCCTTGAGCCTCGGCGTGCAGGACCTATCAAAGCGACAATGTCATGGCATGATCATGTGCATCAACTGCAGCAAACAAAGGTAAGGTTTATACGGTACATGATAGAGCAGTTGTTCAGAAGCAAATCAAGGGCTGCATGTAGTACTAGTGATGGGTATCTCCGCTGCGATGCGGGCGGTGGGCGGACAAAGCTCTCCGCTCCGCAGTTGGTTGGCCACTAAAACTCCCTGCCGCACAGAAAGGCCACCACGGCTTCACTACAACAGCCCACCTGCTCAACCTTCCGCTCTGGACACATTAGCGTGTCTTAATCTTATACATATTTTTCTACGCTGTTATTATTACCTATACTGAGTCTTAATCATGTCACGACACGCCCAAGTAGAGGAGGTGTACGACTCTGACCCGGAGGAAGTTGCTCCCTCCGATTCCTCGCCCGCCAACTTCGCCAATGAGTCCATCCTTTCTGGAGCTGGAGTACCTATGTCCGGCTCAGTACCCATGAGGCCCGCTCCTGAACCTCAGCGCGAGATCCCCAAGCATTATCAATGCCTGTACCCGATATACTTCGACAAGTCGCGGTCCCGCGCCGAGGGCCGCAAGGTTGGAAGTGAGCTGGCGGTTGAGAACCCGTTAGCGAGGGATATTGTCGATGCGGTGCAGATGTTGGGATTGAATGTCGGATTCGAGCCTGAGAAGCTGCATCCCAAGGACTGGGCCAACCCTGGACGTGTGCGTGTCTTGCTGAAGAACGAGGACGGGAAGCTGGTCAACTCGAGAATCAAGAACAGTCAGTGTACCCCCAACCTGTCCGCAGGTTACTATCAGAGTCGAACCCTTTTCAAATGGCCTGATCACAGTTTCCTTTGTCTGACCATGACTACAGAGCACCACCTTTACATCCTCGTGGCGCAATACCTTAAGGCTCACCCTACCACCGAAGAATCCCCCTACCGTCTCAGAATCCGAGGACTCCCCATGCCCGAGAAACTACCTGCTGCGCCCGCCGCTCCCCGTGGATGGAAGATTGGAAAGATTCTACCGATACACTCTCCGGCCTACAGCGGTGGTGGAGTCAGCGATAACCCGCTCAAGGACGCCATGGCTGAGATGCAGAACATGCAGGGTATGCCAGGCATGCCCCAGATACCTGGAATGCCGGATCTGGCGGGAATGATGGGAGGAATGGGGGGAATGGGGGGCATGGGTGGAAGTCCGTCTGCTGGAGGCAGCGAAAAGAAGAAGAAGGATAAGAAGAAGGGCAAGGCGTGAAGCACTTGTCGATGTTTCTTCATATGGTACATAGGCTTTTGATTGCATTGGCACGGGCGAAAGGCGTTATGATGATTCATGTATAGAGGGCATCTCTGCTGTTCTCTTGATACCAAGTCGAATGAAATGATCAATGAGTGGGGACATGTCTGGTTTGTGGTATCGGATGTGGCTGATAGGTGCCATCTGCCGTCTCCGCAGCGGATGGCAGCCGTAGCTTCTCTAGTTTATTCTGCAGAGATCATTCGAGTAATTATAGCGTACCTAAAGCATGCTCTGTAAGGTCCTACACTTCTCAGTAGAGAATCATGGGTCAATCCAACCCACTCCGAATTTCTCGGGAGGACCATCCGACCGTCTTGCGTATATGGTCGCTGTCATTGGCCGAGCCGGCGCAATCGCCGATAAGTAGAACCGCGGCCTCTTTTACCCCAGAGTCATCCTCCGCCGCTGTTCCTCTCAGCTTCAGCTTCAATCACTGCGCGGTTGCTTCCGTTTTATTTTCCCAACAAGCGCACAATTGTTCGATCGGCACCCGAGTAGTCGCGACTCACATACATGGGTTGACACTCATGTGCACTCCCTCATGAACCACTCCTTGCGTCCTGTCGATGGATCATAGAACCCCGCCACTGCGACCGACGGACCATGAATACAAGCCCACCGAGCATTCTGCCCGGCTACGGGCAGATGAACGGAACCCCCCGATCCCAGTTTCGCTCTAGCTACGACTCCCCTGCCTCAGGCTCTTCGTCCTCAGCTGCTCCCAAGACTGGGAAGGCCGGAGGCCGTCAAATTACCCGCAATCGCGCCAGCTACAGCTGCCACACTTGTCGGAGGCGAAAGGTCAAATGCGACAAGGTGCATAGTCCTAGACTGTTTGTGAGTCTTGAACTGGTCTGACAGGCAAATTTGCAGGTCCACCCGATTTGCGGCAACTGCGTGAAAAATGGTACCGAATGCGTCTACGATGCGGCGCCACAGAAGGATACGGAGTCGCGCTCGAGCATATCGAAGAACGGACATGGCGTCAAGCGGAGGAGGGAGTCGTCGCGACCTATTGAGGAGGACATCGATGATATACAATCTATTTACGGTCATCTGAAGCAAAGTGGAGCTTCCGAGCAACGGTCGCAAGCCATTGAGGCGCGTTTGGATAAACTCACCTCGATGATCGAGAGGCTGAGCAAGACGAATCAGCCGCTGAATGTCGCAGGAAAGCAACGGCTGGCACCAAATGTGAAACTCGAGCCGGCTGAGGGTGATCCTCGTTTGAGCAATATTGCGGCCTTAAAGCCAACTGCTGGTTCCCGTCCGGATAGTCCGCGTCGCGCGGCTGAGTCTAGTGGCGACGAATTTCCTATTCCCGCGGGCCATGCTACTGATCTGGTGGATCCTGTGGGGAGCTTGAATCTTGGCCACTTGAGCTTGGAGGATGGAGGGCGATCAAGGTATGGTTTTGTTTTGTGGTCGGGAGGGCTCTATACTGACAATGGATTAGATACGTCGGCACGACTTATTGGGCTTATATTTCTCATGAGGTATGCTGAAGAAGTTTCCAGCCTTTCGTTGGAGGACTATGCTAAGTATCACTAGATAAATGAGCTCAATCAGTTGCTCAGGGATCAGAATCGATCGCACAACGAACCAGCCTTCAATGAGAGCCCCGTTGACGATGCGGGAACGGAACCTATGGTTACAACACCGGGACGCCAGTGGAAAGAGTCGGCTGACGGTGTCAGCGAGCCTGCCGAGAAGCTTAGCAGAGTACAGACATTCCAGAAGTCTGTTTTGTTTCCGTCAAGCGAATCGCCTTCTGTGAATGACAAGATAGTGGAGCCAGAGATGCTTGAGAACATGCCGACAAAACGACAGAGCCATATCCTGTACAAAGGATTTATGTCTGGAATACACGCCATTACCCCAGTTGTGCACCCGCCTACCATTCTGAAGCTTTACAACTCCTTCTGGGATTGGTATGATTCAAGTAGCTACTCTGGAGAGTCTTGCCCTGACCCATCCTTTATCCCTTTGCTTTATGCCATCTGGTATGGCGGTTCCGTCACTGTCTCAATACGAACAATCAAGGCTGAGTTCAACGTGTCATCCCGCTCAGGTCTGTCCAAGGCATACAGTGAGGAGGTAACGCGCTGGCTATCCAAGATATCGTTCCCTCGCAGTCCGTCCATGCAAGGTTTATCTGCATATCTGCTGGTCCAGACCATTCTTTCCAAGGAGGAAGAGCCTCTGACCAGTAGTCTCTTCATCAGTCTTGCCATGAGGGTGGCCCAGACTATGGGTTTGCATCGGGACCCTGCTAAATTCGGCATTGGCCCCAGCGACGCGGAATACCGTCGCCGTATATGGTGGCACATTGTACACATGGACGGCGTGGTGGCCATGTCCAGCGGTCTGCCTCCCCTGGTCAGTGATGAGAACTACTGGGATGTTCGCGAGACTAGCGAGGTTAAAGACACTCTTCTTGGAACTCCCGCTGCCGAGAAGTATGATAGGCTTGTCATGACCGGCATGAGGCCACCGGATAACCCCGATGACCCAACCGTATGTGGTGGGCCTTCTATGGTTAACGTTTACTACCTATCGGCCAAGGGCAAATATACGATGGCTCGTAAGTATCTGAAGTATACGTCCATAGGTTACGATATCTAACAACCCTGCAGGCGCTGTTCGTCGGATCATGAAGATCCAGCTTGGTACAAAACCCGTCACGCGAAGGGACATGGAGGAGCTGAGGTCGATATTGGTTGATCTGCAATACAAACTGAACTCTATCATCAACCGGATACCAGAAGCAAACTCGCTCGATACTTCGTCTCCAGTGTCGTCTACTAGATCATGGTCTTTATCCTCACAAGCAGATTCCCGCACCGAACTGCCGGCGGATGGACCCAATGGATGTGCAGAGCAGTACCATTCGCCTGTCCTTGTCTCCTTCCACAAGTGGGCTAGGATCCTCATGTCTCTTTTCATAGACAAAGTGAGTATCTTCTAAGATTTACCGATATACCTGCTGATTAAGCCTACCAGGCTTTTTGCGTCGCCTATCAGCCCTTTCTGAAGAACGCCAAAAGTCGAATCTGGCCGGCTGCAAGACAGAGGTACTGTCCAACATCACCATCCAGAGACAAGACACAAACCACTAACAAACCACAGCGCACTCCGCCACTGTCACGGCTTCATGGAGAAGTTCGTCTCACTCGCAACCGACCCCGACTTTCAACCCTTCCAATGGAGTTGGCCCGGCAATCACCAACCAATGCACGCGACCATGATCATGCTCATTGACCTCTACGAACGCCCCTACAGCCCAGAGGCCCCCAAATCCCGCGCCTACATCGACAAAATCTTCTCCATGACGGGCCCCGATGGCGGCGTCGTCGGCGGCGAAGACGGCGTCTCAACCCAACGACCTCTGAAAGACGGCGGCCGCGAAGCATGGGACATGATCCGACGCCTACGCCAAAAAGCATGGCAAAAAGCCGGCCTGGATCCTCACAGACTATGGTCCGAACAAGCCCAGATCCAAGCAGGCGTCACCTCTCTCCAAGAAGATTACGCCAACAACGACCCCTGCTACACCAGCGGCACTCCCTCCCCCTCAACCTACCCTCCTCCTCCTCCCGTCACCACGCGCCGCCAACTCACCGACTTCTCCAAAATGTTCTACAACATGACTCGCTCCCATCAACTCCCCAACCCAGCTACCACTAATAACAACTCCCGTCCAAGCCCTCTCCGCTATCAACTCCCTCCTCCAGCCCCTGCTCCTATCCTCCCAAGCCCGCAATCAAGAACCGCCCCCGTTCCTCCTCCATTCCCCCAATCCCCAACACCCCCCAAATACCCCATGGACACCACCACCGCCACCTCCCCCCTCCCCAGCGGCTCCCCCATCTCATCCCCCGAAAGCATCGCCCCCTTGAACCCTAACATCTTCGCCAGCACCTTCAACAACACCCCGCAGCCGCAGCAAGCACCACAACTACCAACTAATACCCCTCCTCCTGCTGCTCTACAAGCAGCTCCTCTTCCGTCCTTCATGGACACAGCCATCTCACCCACCAGCCAACCCATCCCGGGGGCCCCCACACCGCCCTCCATGGTGGATCCGAACTTAAACTTCGATTGGGACCAGTGGGACGCTGTCTTCGGGCAGCATCTGCCGGTGGCGGATGAGTTGATGGAGTTGGATCCGGTCACGGGATTCGAGTTTGGGGATTTGAGCAGTGCGGCTTATGCTAATGCTGCTGCTTCGCCTTCGAGGATGGGGCTTGGTGGTGGTGTGGGGAGGGGCAGTTTTGGGAGTGTTGGTAGTGGTAGTGGTGGTGGTAATGAGGTTGGGATGGGGGAGGTGAGGGGGTCTGATTGGGTGGGTTATTGTTGATTCACTTAGTACTTAATGTATGTCTAATTGGAGGTGTTTGGTTGGTTGGTTGGAGGGTATAAATTAAGTTCTCGTTTATTTTGTATATAGCGGTCATATTCTACTACTTTTTGATTGAACTCATCCTTGAGGTTGAGATCTACGGTTATGAAACTGGATTCAGTGTCTTGAGGTTGAAAGATGATCATGTGTCAAACGGAAGAACCGCTAGACGATGGAATAATATGTGATCAAAAATAAAAGAAGACGTAACAGTTATGGATTTCATGAGGCGTGACTTTAATCAAGAAGGACGCAGAAGATGTGCGACGCAGGAGCATGATGTGATATCAAGATGCGAAGGGAAAGATAATTAGCAATAGCCAGAAGGGACGCGTTAGCGGGAACCCAGGAGTCCAAACTCCTGGACAGCTAATTTCCGGAGACCCTTGGTTGCTCGTATTAGGAGATCGCATTTTCAGTGTCTCTTCTCTTTCTTTTTCAATTCATGACAACAATTATTCGCATGACTGCAGTGTCTGAATTTAGACCTTGACCTCCTGGAGACCGTGCTTCCAGAGGGTAGCGTAGGGGGTGACACCGTCCTCCCGGAAGTCAATCAGGATGTGCCTGGTTCGGTAAATTAGTTTTAGTTGCAACCAGAAGATGGATGGCAGAATAAACGTACATAGCATCACCGTCCATGGACTGACCCATCATAACATCGTAGTTGTCGTAGTTGCCAAGGATCTTCTTGACAGCACCGGCGGCACCAGCCTTGAACTCATCGATGGTCTCCTTGGAAGCACCGGTCTCGGTGAGCTTGGCAAGGACCTTCTTGACGTAGCCTGTACAGGGTAGACTCG